ATCCTACTTGCACATGTCAGTTATAGTTGGCATTTATGTACATGAATCTATGGTCACCTTCTCACCTTCCTGAGTGCTAAGCGCCTCCATCTTTTTTTTTTCCTTTTTGATCAGCAAGCGCCTCCATCTTTGACCGAAATTTTTTTTTTTTTTTGAAAATAGGTAATGGCATCTTTGACGGAAATTGAAACTCCATTATAAGAAGAAAATGGGGCTACATTGCTTCAAGCCAAAAAACAAAGAACAAAAAATGGAGGAAAAATGGGTTAGAGCAATTGTAATGTTGGTTTTGGTAAGTGGGTGGCTTTGTTCTTGTTGTTGTGGGTGTTTGGAGGAAGAGAGAATTGCCCTCTTAAACCTCAAGTTTGCAATCCCTCCCTCAACTAGCCATGTTCTAGCACCTTGGGAAGGGCATGGTGATTGTTGTAAGTGGGTTGGGATTGAATGCAACATCACAACAAAGAGAGTGATCCAGCTCTCTCTTAATGATACTTCCGATTGGATCTTTGAGGGTTGGTATTTGAATTCTTCTTTGTTTTCACCGTTGGAAGAGTTAAAGAGTCTTTTCTTGAAGGACAATAGCATTTCTGGTTTCACAAACAATGAAGGTCATTTTGTCCTTTCCACTTGAGCAACATTTTTAGTTATTCATTTTGTGGGTTTTATGGTATTAGAATTTTTAATTTTGCAGAATAACTAAGTATATTCATTTCTTGCACAGGTTTAGAAAGGTTGTCAAGCTTAAGCAATTTGGAGATTCTTGATTTGAGTTATAACCTGTTAAACAATAGCATCCTATCATCTTTGGCAAGTCTTTCATCTTTAAAAGTGTTAAATCTAGCAGGCAATAAGATGGAAGGAAGTCTACATATTCAAGGTAGTATTTTACGTAACATAACCAATTAATTTGATACACTTTAAGAAATGAGGTATGATATCCAATTTTGACATCATTACGTTTCTTGAGGGATTTGGAGCTACTCATTAATTGCTTGTAAACACACAAATAATGCTTATTACTCATAAACCTTGTTTGCAGGTATTAAAAGACCACTAGTGCTACGTTATTTGGAAGTGCTTGATTTGGGCGTTAATTCTTTCAATAACACTATTTTATCTTCCTTGAGAGGGCTTTCATCTCTTAGGAGTCTTAATTTGAGTGAAAACAATTTAAAAGGAATGCTGAATATTGAAGGTAGATCAATTGTTTCACTTATTTTTTGTTTTCATCAATCATTGTATATCATTCTAATGGAATCCCGTTTGTTTTCCCTCATTGTAATTCAATTGATCTCATTTTGTCCTTTATGGCTGCCAGAATTAGTTACTCTAAACAACTTGAAGGAGTTGGATTTAAGTCGTAATGAAGTGGAAAGTTTTGTGACTCCCAAAGGTACACTTGATCAAACTAGAAATTTTGGTTATAATAAGGCCTAGTCATTTTGTTCCTTTCATCAATAAGTGCCTAAAAGAATTAGAACACCTAACCCACTAGTTTCATACTAATAAAATTTTTTATTGAATTGTAATATGCTTATACATCAATAGAGAAAAATTTAGCTCAAGCTTAAGCAAAACTTTTAAGGTTGTGTTTGCATTGGCTACTATGGAGCATATGTCCTTTTTAAAAAGATCACGAGTTTCCTACAAGATCACATCTCTACAGCTTTAAAGCTTATCTTGATTTCCTATTTTGCTTGTAGATACAAGAAGTTTGAGTATGCTAGAAGTCCTAAATCTAAGATGGAATAACAACACTTGTGGAAGATGTCTACTACAGTCAATCAGGGCATTCCCTTTAATTAAGACCCTTGACCTTACTTGGAGTAGATCTATAGAATTGATGACTGTTGAAGGTAAGTTATGTAGAGAAGCAAAAAGGAGAAAAAAAAAAAAAAGAGAAAAGGAAATGCTTACCTATATTTTAGTTTTTTCATTGTACATTATCTCACTTTATCCAAGCAGCTAATAAAGATTGATTACTTAATTTTCAGATAGTCTCACTTTTAAGGAGTTGGAAGTATTGCTTTTGGACAGATCTTCTCTTCACAATAATTTTCTTCAAAGCATTGGAATGCTAAGCTCTCTTAAAGTTTTGTCTGCATCCTTCTGTGAGCTCAATGGAACTTTGCCCAATCAAGGTAAAACATATAATCTTCTCACTAATCCAAAAAATTAAAACTTATAATCTTTTTATAAGAAATTTAGAATTATGATTTGATGTAGCAATTCCCCATTTCTTTGTTTCTTATTGTTTCTTGTGTTAGTAATTTCATTTTTTTCCTTCCTTGATAACTAATATTTACAGGATGGTGTAAACTGAAGAACCTTGAAGAGTTAGATTTAAGTACAAATAATTTTCAAGGAATGCTTCCCTCTTGTTTGGGAAACTTGTCATATCTTCAGGTGTTGGATGTATCATTTAACCATTTCACAGGAAATATTGCCACCAGCCCTCTTACCAATTTGAAATCACTTGAATATCTCTCGTTTTCAAGTAACAATTTTCAAGTCCCAATTTCCTTTAGGATGTTTTCCAACCACTCCAAGCTTAAGGTCCTTCTTGGCGATGACAACAATTTAATGTCAGAACCTCTCCTTCAAACTCCAACTTCAAAGTTCCAACTCATAATTTTGAGTTTGTCTTACCTTGCATTAAAAGAACCTCCTTACTTCCTCCATCACCAAAATGACCTTAGGGTTGTTCATCTCTCCCACAACAACATCACTGGAGGATTCCCATCTTGGCTATTCATGAACAATATAGGATTAAAAGTATTCAACCTAGGATATAACTCCATATCAGGACCTTTGCAGTTGCCATCACAACCTCATTTCAACATTTCATTCTTAGATGTAACTAGGAGTGGTTTACTAGGAAAAATCCCTATAAATATGGGTTCAGTCTTTCCCCATCTTACAAACTTAATCATGTCTGAAAATTCCTTTCAAGGTCAGATTCCTGCTTCTTTTGGTGATATGAAATTATTAGAATCTTTAAGCTTGCCAAACAATCAATTCTCTGGGAGGATCCCTGATTCCTTTGGTAATTTGAGCTCTTTAGTCTATTTAAACTTGTCCAATAACCGATTGTCAGGAGGAATACCAAAACTGCTAGTCTTAGGTTGCCCTTTGACAATTCTTATATTGTCCGATAATAATTTGCAAGGGCAAGTATTTCCTCTTCTTGTCAACTTAACAACATTAACAGTCTTACAACTAGGCGGCAATAACTTTGCAGGAGAGATACCTGAGGTTTCATCTGTCAACTCTTTTTCTCCATGGGTAATAGACATGAGCAACAACCATTTCTCAGGCAAGCTTCCAAGATGGATGGGAAATATCTCATTTTTGATTGGGTTGTCTTTGTCCAAAAATAATTTTGAAGGTTCGTTTCCAATAGAATTTTGTGGCTTTTACATCCTTGGTTTTCTTGACCTCTCAGATAACAACTTGTCTGGCTCCATCCCAGATTGCTTTAATCCAAGTTTTCTAAACCGTCTTCATCTGAGCAACAATAGATTTACTGGGCCATTGCCAATAGCATTCTATAGTAATGGTAGCTCTTATCTGGAATCATTGGACCTTACAAGGAACAATCTAACTGGTACAATTCCTAGTTGGATTGGTGGCCTACCATTTTTGCGTATTCTTTTGTTGAAAGCTAACCATTTTGAAGGTGAGATTCCTTTCCAGCTATGTCAGTTGAAGAGATTAAGGATAATGGATCTTTCTCAAAATAATCTTTCTGGTTCTATACCTTTGTGTCTGAGTAGTTTAACATCTGAGGCAACGACTTTTAAACTTCAAGTTGGTATTTCGATGAATGGCAACATGAACATAACATCAATGATATATTCACTGTCAGACATAGGGGAGAACAAGCTGACAAAGAATTACAATGGCTTCCTGAAATATGAAGATAAGGTCTTTGATTTTAAGGATTGGGTAGAGTTTACAACAAAGAGCATGTCGTATGTTTACAATGGCAGCATCCTTGGTTACATGTCTGGTATTGATTTATCTTGCAACCATCTCAAGGGAAGGATCCCACCTGAAATTGGATACTTGATTGAGATGCATGCACTAAACTTGTCACACAACAACCTAACAGGACCAATTCCCTCTACTTTTTCAAACCTAAAACAAATTGAAAGTTTGGACCTTTCCTATAACAATTTGAATGGGGCAATTCCCCCTCAGTTGATTGAGCTAAACACCTTGTCTGTGTTTTCTGTTGCACATAACAACTTATCAGGATCAACCCCTGATCAAAAAGCCCAGTTTGGGACCTTTGATGAAAGCAGCTATGAAGGAAATCCTTACCTTTGTGGAGCTCCACTGCAAATCAACTGCACCAAAATTGAATCACCATCAATGACCAATGTTTCCCATTATGATTGGGAAAACAATGGTTTTACGTACATGAGTGTTTTCTACTGGAGCTTTTTGGCAACTTATGTCGTAGTGTTGATGGGTATTGCAACAATTCTGTACATAAATCCTTATTGGAGACAGGCATGGTTTTACTTCATTGAAGTTTGCATCACCTATTGTTACTACTTTGTTCTAGACAACTTTTGTTGGTTTTCCAAAACAATCATTTAACCTTTGTAGAGTCAAGACTCAAGTGACTAGTAATAAGAATTGTAAGAGAATAAGTATTCAAGGGGTAGCCTTGTATTCAAATGATCTTAATGCAAGCTTTGATATTGAAGTTTCCCACTAAGAAAGTTCATCACACTAAAACATGCATCTGGATCAATCCCACCAAATGTCATTTATTTGGAAAATAATGACAACAATTACAAATTTGGCCGAAAAATGACAACTTGTAGAATTAACGTGCATGTACAAAATGTTGTAGTCTTTTTGTTCTAAGAGAATATGGAGGCAGCTTGATTGGCACAAAAGCTTTAACCAGAATCAAATTAGTTAGGGGTACAATCAAGAGGCCACGGCTCAAAATCTAACTTTCTTCCAACCGAAACAACGGTGGAAAAAAATAGCACTCTGAACCTAAAATGTTTACAAAAAGATGAGAACTCGAGAACGGTCGCTCACATTTGCAGTCTAAATGCGGCAAAGACACCAAGAGGAACCATCTCTTTAGACTACATTTGTCAAAAATGGTCGGCTGGATACCAAAATTCTTTACTTCCTCGATGTGTCCTCCGCCCACTGTGGCCTCTTAGGACATATCTTGGGAACTTCAAAAACATGAGTCATTCATTCTCCTTCTAAGAAACCTATCATTTGAGGAAAATCTTTCTCATAATTGATGACATATGAAATTAGTATGTAGTACGGAAGAGAGTAGAGAACAATAATCAGAGTAACGCTTTAGAACTTCCCTTCCTTAGTTCAACATAACCAGCCATACAAGAACAGACAATTGTTATTTAAGCCTTCCTATAAGTGCATATAGAACATTTAACTTTTGAACACCATTGGACCACAGAAACCAGCATGTTTATGTCATCTGCCAGAAGACACGGCTTGCTTAATCCTCCTAATCACAATACTAAGATTGCCACCACTTTCCAAAGCTGTGACAGCAGCTCGATGAGCGTGCCTGAGCCATATAAGCAGGTCGAAAGACTGTAGAACAGACCATGTAGCTTGATTTGACATCTTCTCAAGGTAATGAAAACAAATAATTAGCATCTTTTCTCTCTCTAGGTGAGAATAATTAGTACCTATTAATGGAGTAAAGGCATGAAATAGATAGTTGCAGATGTACCTGAGCTACAGACAATGGCGGTTGCAGAAAGACACAGATGATGTGAAACATGTTTCGTCATTCTCTCCACCCTCAGCCTCACCATAAATCACAGCTTCAACAGCAATCCCAGCAAAAAGCACCATGCAGTACCTGATCATATAATCATGCATCAGCATAATCAATACTAGTAGAAAAGTATTCCCGATATGCATTTGCTAATGACATATTTACTAACAGCCTTAAGAGAGAAGAACATGCAATCCACTTCTGCAGAGTGCCAAGAAGAATAGTTTATTTTAACTCCTGTTTAGACAGATTTATTCCACTTGAAATATCAGTGATCATAATTAGAAACTAATGGAACTATAGGCCTTATGACCTGATGCAGCACAAGAACGAATAGATTGAAAGTAATAGAAGAAGATGTTGAAAAAGAGATTGAAAAAAAGGAAGACCTAGAAGGAACGAGCATTAGAAACAAGAATTTAGGTTGGGAAACTTTCTTAACAGTTTGTAGTCAGTATTTCCAAAAACTGATCATCAGAGACATGATGTTTAACAATCTGTAAAGAAACAAGAAAATCTACCAATCTTTCAAATAGTAAATGAAATAAATATAATTTGGATGCTAAACTTGCATTTAAGGCAAGAATATCTAAATTTTTAGGCAGCATCAAACATCAGAGATACCACCTCGTGACACCAACCTGTCAAAGGCAGAGCCACTCAATTGTCCTTCAGCCAGCGCATTACTCATTTTCTAATCCCAAAACTGAGTTCCATCCAGTACAAAAATGCTGAGTTTGGGCCTTTCTAACTTCCATAAACTAAAGGTGTCCACAAGAGATTATATTGCTTAAGAATCAAACAGCATACAGCATGCAGTTTGATTTTCTTTACAAAAATACTAAGAGCAAAATGTAAAATAAAAAAAAAAAAATCAAAATGACTACCTGCCCTTGGATGCCTATCTGCATTGCAGCAATTGGATCTAAAATCACTCCACAAATTGGGCGACCCATAAGGTACGCTACAAAAAAATTAGCAAAAGAACCTTAGTTATGCTTGTAAGCCAATGTCATATGCCAGGATCATTGTCAAAGAACCAGAAGACACTAAAGAGAACATCAGCCTTTTGGCCACTGGTAAACATGCAGCAATGACCATGCAAGAAGTGTCCAAATGCAGGGATTCATATTTCAGATTTTGTATTAAAAAAAAAACCATAATAACATTAAAGTGAACAGTGCAAGCATTACATACCAACAAGGAGGTGGCCTGCTTCATGAACTATAATCCGACGCCTATACAGAGGCCAGTAACTTGAGATTAAAGCTAAACATACCCCCAAGGAAGATAGAGTCTAAAAAGGGTAGGCCCAGTATAGCAGCAAGGTTAGGCCTGATATCAATCCCTTGAGAAAGCAGACAAGAGATCCACCCAGAAGAGCAACCAATGCGATGCTGGAGGTTCCAGAAGAACCCCACTATTTTGGACAAAGTTTAGAAACTGAAAGAGGAAAAGGTAATCCATAACTATTTCAATGAAATTTTACTTTTATTTTCTTGGATGAAAACAAAATGCTAGAATACCAACCACTATGAAACAACCCAATCATAATAGAACGATATGCATTATTACAATCCCAATCATCTAAAACCATGCATTCTGCTGAAGCTGCAAAGACTTCTATATGCAAACTAGTACAAATCAAGATGATGCAAAAACTTGAAGAACTTAGACGAATTCATAAAAATTAAAATAAAGGTACCATCTGAATCAGTATAGTACTTCAACACACTTGGTGTAACGTCTCTTGGCCCCTCCAGAACTGCATAAAGTGCGAATGTTGAAGAAGTTAAAAGCAAAATTACATTCATTCAAGCCGAAACGAAAGTTGTTACCGTGACAATTGCAAAGCCCACTCCCTTCCATACGACAAAAGACCCATTTTCTCGCTTTTCAAGTTCGCTGTGAATTAATACCCGTGGACAGAAAAAACTCAAAACCAAAACATATAAAAGAACACCCTTTGCAGGAATTAATAAAAAAAA